ATTTAAAAGAGTCGATCATCAGATATTGTCCAAGATTAACCTTCAGGGTGGATATAGCTCGCTCACACCAAGGACCTATCCACATTATCATTTACCCAGAATGCTTTGTGTTTAAGTAAAATGGCCCCGTCCATGTTAAAATATATTTTTAAAAATTTACCAAACTAAACAGCCTACAGTATTTTTACAGTCTTTATTTTACCGTTAAAATATTCTATCAAATAAAGACTAATGTTACAACGATCCCAAAAAAATACAGATTAATGATTTCTGCTTAAAGACGTACAGATTTTGGATTTTCGGTCCACACCCACCTGTAAACGCTCCAGGAACTTCCAGACGCGGCACTTGTTCTCCACGCGCACCACCACGGCATTGGCAGGGACCGCTGCTAAGTGGCACTGCTCGTACTGGTCCAGACCTGCTTCAGTTCCATCTGGACACAGCAGCTTCAGGTCCTCCAGCTCCAGATCCAAGGCCCACGACTCCTGGTTCTTACCTGAGTACATCAGACTGGGTTTCATGAAATGTACACATCTAAACCAGCTAACACACAAAAATGAGTTTTTACACCAGATGCACTTGCTAATGCAACCAACAACCTACCACATGTGGGGTTAAGGGGCCTTGCTCAACAGTCAGGGGATCGAACCAGTGACCTAATGACCACAGCCTTCCCTTACCTCTGCCCCACCACTCCCCCAATTAATACTGAGCATTTTAAATAAAAAAATATTTATCTCAGATCAAGTAATTAAATCTGCTGTCCCTATCAGCTCAGACTCTGTTTTCCTGACCTCCCCTCTCTAATTGTCGTGACTCTGAACATCTTCTGAGCATGATGAACATGATGAAGTAAGCTTCGTTAACCAGCGGCCATCGTGTTCATGGGAGCTGGTGCCAAACGGCTCCTTCTCAGTCCGAGCAGCAGAGCCTGTGTAGCACAACGGCGATAATGATCATCATTAACTCTGGATGTTGCCCACAGCGGAGGAGCAGATGCAGAAAACATCTAACCAGTAGAATTAGGACACTAGATGGACAGCAGTGTTTAGACTGTCTGTTTTCATTTGTTATTTATTGCTCATCTGTTTGACTCTCAGAAGCAGATGTCATTAAAGACATAAACAGTCCTCTCATGACTTTTAGACTGACATCATTTCATGTTAAAAATACCAAAGTTGAAGCCATTTTGGTCAAACCTAGAAAATAACATCATATCTCACCCTCAGAGTATGTTTWGTGAATGACAGCTACTACCATGCAAAATGTCACTTCAATATCCATAAAACTGACAAAGTTATGGCCGTATCTCCGTTCTATACAATGCTGATCAGCTGTGGTGGCTAGTTGACTCAAAAAATTAATCAGCTATAGATGTGCATCCGATGATTATTTCCTAAAAGTTTCATTAAGACTCATCCAGTGGTTTATGAAATATTACGCCAACAGACAAACAAAGCTTACTTCTTCAGGCAATGTTAAAGATTTAGGTAAAAATAATCTTGCACAATAAATAGAACTGGTTATGAATTACTAAGAGCTACAACCAAAGTAAATATTATGCCAAATATGTAAAATTGACTAAATTGAAGCCACTTTTGTGTTGTTGTGGTCAGTTAGTTGTGGCGGCCATCTTGAATTGAGTCGGTTTCAAAAATATTAAGCAGATGCAGAGGTGCATCCAATYATTATTTTCTAAAAATCTCAAAATATGTGGTTTACTCTAACACATACAGAGGCAAAAACATTAGCCCATACAACACTCCTCTGTTTTGTGTGTGTGTGTGTGTGTGTGTGTGTGTGTGTGTGTGTGT